GCGCCTATGCAGCCACATGATCTCACGTCCAGGTTGGCTAGGTTGGTTTGGTCTGTTTTCATACCCACAAAGGTTATGTTACTTTTATTTTAGAAATAACCATTTTTTAACACATTTGATCAACCTACAGCAGTGTCAATTTTGGCTGCGGGTTAGTCATGAATAATTACCTAGTTAGGTTAGGTATGATCAAACTCATTCAAAACACGTCAAAAACTGTCGGGAATTTCACTATTATTTAGTAGCTTAGACAGTTCTAAGGTACTTCACATCATAACAGAGAAATGTCTGCGAATGGACGAGTTGACGGTTCTGGGCAAACACAAGAAATACACTCTGCCACATTCGTAGAGTGATACTGTATGTATAATTTGTAATAAAAGTTTAAAGTTCTGCTATAATAGTTGAGATAACTTTATTTCTCTAGAACCAGGACGTCACTAGTTTCAAGCAGCGCTGGGCTGCAGTCGTAGGTATTAGAGAGGATGGCCTCTTCAGACCCCAAATTCCACGTTCAGGGAAAATGTAAGGGTGTTTTTTTTATGGTCAAAGTCATGGACACTTCGTAACTGAAGAAATGCACCGTGAAGAGGAGCTTCAAACATATGTTGGATGGATATATGAGCGATAAGGGGTTGGGTGTACATGGGACTGCCCAGTATGGGCCAATAGGCCCGCTGCAGTTTCCTCCATTCTTATGTTCTTATGTTATAGAGAAATCCGACTGTGAGAAGATTTAGGAGTAATGATAAGTAGGAGTCTTAAACCAAGACAACAATGTGTTGCTCGAAACAAGGCAAACAAAGTACTTGGGTTCATACAAAGGAGTGTTAGTTACAAGACTAGAGAGGTCATCCTAAAACTATATCTCGTGCTTGTGAGACCTCACTTGGATTACGCAATTCAGTTCTGGTCACCGTACTACAGAAAGGATATAGAATCCTTAGAAAGAATTCAAAGGAGAATGACAAGACTAATCCCGGGCATTAGGAACCTTGAGTACAGAGACAGGTTAAAGCATCTTAATTTGCACTCCCTCGAGAGACGTAGAGTGAGGGGTGATATGATAGAGGCGTATAAATGGAAGTCAGGGCTAAACAAAAGTGATATAACAAAGGTACTCAAACTATCCAACCAGGAACGAACTCGTAACAATGGTTTTAAATTAGACAAATTTAGATTTAGGCGCGAAATAGGTAAACATTGGTTTGGAAATAGAGTAGTGGATGAGTGGAACAAGTTCCCAAATATCATCATTAACTCGAATACGCTGGATAGCTTCCACCATTCTTATGTTCTTATGTTCCTGTATATCTATTCAATGCACCTTAAGCTATCCATACACTTATATGTATAACCAAGCTGACCTAAATTAACCTACTTTGCCATAACCTAATCTAATCTTTCAGGATCAAACCTAATCTACTCTAACCTAAGTCAACCTAACCTCCCATGACCCATCCTAACCTAACATATCTTGACCTAATGTAACCTAACCTAACCTTCCATTACCTAACCCCTCTCTCTCTCTCTCTCTCTCAATTATCCTGGTTTTTCCCACTGCTCCAAGTCTGAAAAATGACGAACCTAATCTCCCCCCTCCCCGTCTCTCTCATCCTGTAGTTCTTTTCCTGGCCAAGTCTCAACCCCCGACACACCACTCCCCCACACAACAATTTTCCACCGGATGAAGCTCCCAAAACAAAGGCGTCCCGAACGTATTGAAACCAAACATTTTTTTTATTCCCCGCCATCAAAGTCGAATTTGTGGGCTTAAATTATACGATTATTTCAGTTAATAGAAGTATTTTGTTCTGGCAGAAAATCGCTAATAAGGTATTAATGAAAATGACGCCTAAGTAAAAATTAAAAATACAATAAATAAATAAAAAATAAAAGAAATGACCCGCCAATGAAGCGATTTTTTTGCCGTAAAATGATCAATGGTGAATGTTATCTGAGGGAGGAGGGAGAGGGGAAGGGGAGAGGAAGGGGAAAGGGAGAGGGAGAGGAGGGGAAAGGGGAGAGGGAGAGGAGGGGAAAAGGGAGAGGGAGAGGAGGGGAAAGGGGAGAGAAGGGGGAAGCTGTGAAGAGGGGGGAGGTTATGTTAAAAGAACTACATCCACTACACTGATTAAAAGAAAAAAAAATATATCCCCCTAAAAAAAGCTAATTTTCTCATGCATATTGACTTAGAGATTAACTTTGGTTTTATTTGGCTCGTAACACCTAAGAGAAAATGTAGATGGAATGTATTGGTGTGAAATTTTTAATGCCTGGTCGCTGCTTACTAAATAACTTAAAATAACTATTAGTAGTAGTAGTAGTATTAGCATTGTTATTATCATCATTATTATTATTATTATTATTATTAGCGTCGTAATTTATCGTTCAGTTACGTTAGGAGTTTTGGCTGTGTGAAGAACAAGAAAATGAGTTAAAAATTATTGATGTATTTCGACTAAGATGTCCAAATTATTGTCTTAATAATTTGGAAATAATTTAAACAAGTTACTATAGGTAAATATTTAAGGACAATATCAAACGGCGCATTTAAAAATTTTGACAGTTATTTGAAAGAGCAACGTATGTATTATTTATCAAATATAAAAACTCTTAGTGTATGTAAATATTATTTTATGGTATAACCGAATACTATAAATGGGTTCAACTGAAGATTAGACACCCTAACGCTACGAGGGAGTTAGGTTAAGGTACATTAGGTTAGGTTAGGTTAGGTTAGGTTAAGGTACATTAGGTTAGGTTAGCACTAGGGGAGTTAATCTTCAGGTGAAATAAACGGGGGTGTCTAATAGTCAGGTGCAATAATTTAGGACTATCAACGCTTATTGTTAATGTTGTTGTTATTTATTATTATTATTATTGTTATTATTATTATTATTGTTATTATAATTATTTTATTATTATTATTATTATTGTTATTATAATTATTTTATTATTATTATTATTATTGTTATTATAATTATTTTATTATTATTATTATTGTTATTATTATAATTATTTTATTATTATTATTTTTTTTTATAATAATTATTATTATTATTATTATTGTTGTTGTTATAATTATTTTATTATTATTATTATTATTGTTGTTGTTATAATTATTTTATTATTATTATTATTAGTAGTAGTAGTAGTAGTAGTAGTAGTAGTAGTATTATTATTATTATTATTATTATTATTATTATTATTATTATTGTTATTCATACTTGATTGGAAACTGTGACTGGGAAATCAAGGGAATTGTTTTATTATAAGAGTGATTTGAATAAGTAACTTGTGAATGTTAATGAATTTAGAACGATATTATAAAACTGAACAGAACAATGAAAACGAGATGTTATGTGTAGATAGATAGATATAGAAAACCTAGTTACTCGGCCTCAAAACACCAGGTTACTCGGCCTCAAAACACCAGGTTAATTGGCCGTCAAAACACCAGGTTAATTGACCGTCAAAGCACCTGAGACATGGCCGTCAAAACACCAGGATATTTTGCCGTTAAAACACCTGGTTACTTGGCCTCAAAACACCAGGTTAATTGGCCGTCAAAACACCAGGTTAATTGGCCGTCAAAACACCAGGTTAATTGGCCGTCAAAACACCAGGTTAATTGACCGTCAAAGCACCTGAGACATGGCCGTCAAAACACCAGGATATTTTGCCGTCAAAAACACCTAGTTACTTAGCCGTCAAAATACCAGGTTACTTTGCCGTCAAAACACCAGGTTAATTGACCGTCAAAACACCAGGTTACTTTGCCGTCAAAACACCAGGTTAATTGGCCGTCAAAATACCTGGTACATGGCCATCAAAACACCAGGATATTTTGCCGTCAAAACACCAGGTTAATTGGCCGTCAAAACACCAGGTTAATTGGCCGTCAAAACACCTGGTACATGGCCATCAAAACACCAGGATATTTTGCCGTCAAAACACCGTCAAAACACCTGGTACATGGCCATCAAAACACCAGGATATTTTGCCGTCAAAACACCAGGTTAATTGGCCGTCAAAACACCAGGTTAATTGGCCGTCAAAACACCTGGTACATGGCCATCAAAACACCAGGATATTTTGCCGTTAAAACACTTGGTTACTGGCCGCCAAAACACCTGGTAACTGGCCCTCAAAATACCTGGTAACTGGCCCTTCAAAATACCTGGTGACTGGCCTGACAAAACACCTGGTTACTAGGCCGTCAAAATACCTGCAGGTTAATATGTTGGAGTACTGTGGCAGTGTGTACACCGTCCATGGCTGGTCCCTCCCTCCCTCCCTCAGCTAGGTGTGACATAGTGCCTCAGTACACAGATTGTGCTCCACCACCCCCTACAGTACTCACTCCTCTAGTGATAACCAAGTGTGTTTAGGTTGAGTCCTCAGAGTACTCCGTGTGTGTGTGTTAATACCACCAGTCACTTCCTGCCTCCTCCCAAGTGAAATGTATTTGTGTGTGTGTGTGTGTGTGTGTGTGTGTTAAAAATATACTGTTAAAATTATAAATATATTGATTTATTTATTATTTATAACCGGTAGACTTGCAGTACTTGGGTATTAAATTGAAATTATTATTGACAGTGTTATAAGGCCAGTGTTGTGGCCATGTTGCCTCACTGGTACCATGTGACGTGATGGTGGGTAATGTGGATGATGATCACTAAGGCTGGAAATAATTTTATAGATACAGGTAAATAGAAGAGGCAAGTGTTGAGGAGGAGGGGAGGGAGGCGTGGGGTGGCGCGCTTGGTGGTGTGGCCGACGCCCCTACTATTATGTGGTTCGACAGAGGACTAGAGCTTGGAGGCCGGATCAACCTTCCCACCACCACCACCCTCTCCCGAGCTCCGCCCACTCTTCATGACTCCGCCCACCTGCCCGGTGATTGGCTAGCCCAGAAACAGGAGTCGGGCTGTAAAGGGGCGGGCCGGAGATACCTCCTCTTATACTGCGGTCGAGGCCAAACACAAGCTTAAGATCAGAGCAGCGGAGGGTGAGCAGGATAGTGGATGTCGCTCACTCCCCGGCAGTGACGACTAACACAGTGACGAGTGCGAGTGATGTCCCCACGACCAGCCAGCCCAGGCATGGACTCTGTGTGTGGGCGTGAGTCCTCGGTATCGCCGCCTACGGTGGTGGCGCCCGTGGCCGTCAAACCTCCGCCTTTGAGCGACGCCCACGCGGTGGCTGTACCCACAGACCAGCAGCGCCTGCTGTACCAGCTGGCCCTGGCCGAGCGGCTGCGTCTGGCCTCGGCTGGTCTGGCCTGGGCTAGACCTCCGCTCTCAATCCACCACCACCATCTTCAGGAGGCCGGTATGGGCGGCAACTTTATGGGAGGGTTGGGCATGCCAATGATGGGCGGCCTGGGGTCTATGGCGCTCGGGGGAGGTTTGATGGGTGGGGCATCCACTCAGATGCCCCCAGCCTCATACCCCCCGCCCCATCCCCTCTACGGCTACAGGCTCCTAGACCCCAGGATGCTGCTGCCCCGGGGACCAGAGGAGCCCAAGCCCCAACACTCCTACATCGGCCTCATCGCCATGGCCATCCTCAGCAGCCCCGACAAGAAGTTGATCCTGAGCGACATCTACCAGTACATCTTGGACCACTACCCGTACTTCAGGTCTCGGGGCACAGGCTGGCGCAACTCCATCCGTCACAACCTCTCCCTCAACGACTGCTTCATGAAGTCAGGTCGTTCAGCCAACGGGAAGGGCCACTACTGGGCCATCCATCCTGCTAACATCGACGACTTCCGGCGAGGAGACTTCCGCCGACGGCGAGCTCAGCGCCGCGTCAGGAAGCACCTGGGATTGGCCGTCGACGACGACTCCGAACCCGAAACCCTGTCGCCCCCACCTCCAGCTCTACCTTCCTCCAACGATACACCCACCCTCGAGCTTCCCGCCCAAGATACCTCCGCCCCGCCCGTCACTTCTCGCACGCCCAACATGGACGCAAGTCTCCGTCTTACGAGACCAAAACGCCAGTTCGACGTCCTAAGTTTATTAGCGCCCGACCGTCCGCTGCCACACCACGACGATGACGACGGCGACGGTCTGGTGGACGACCACTGTATGGAGATCAGCAGTGCTCATATAGGCGGCCACCGTCACCAGGTGAGTCAAGAGCACCATCTGCACCTCGGCGACGACCTTCGCTTAAAGGTAACAGACGAGCACCGCCTTCAGATGGGCGAAGACACACGGTCAAAGGTTACTGAAAACCATCTGCAGCAGGTGATCAAGGAGGAGCACCTGCAAGTGGGTGAGGACCAGCCCCTCCAGATAGGCAGTTCTCAGCTCCAGCTGGGTGAGCATCACCCACGACCCCGCCCGACACCACACCTCCAGGTGAGCACCGACCAACACCTGTTGAGTGAGGCCAACCACCATTTACAGGTCAGCAAGAGTCATCTCCTACAAGTAGCGAAAGATCACCACATCCTGCATGACCTCGAGGACCACTGCCACAAAGAGAGACAGAGACTGCAGGTCGGGGAGGACCATGGGAGCCCCTCTTGCGTCATCAAGAGTGAGGTTACCCAGCCAGAGGGACGTTCAGAAGAAGGTCATAGCGGTGTGGGCGGCCAACCGTCATCCCCTGGGTGTTGGGCGGCAGGAGGGTGGCCTCGGGCCGCCCCAACCACCACCCTCCACACACCATACATCACCAGCGACAGCTCCGTGGACGCTCTCTCATCAAAAGCTCCTCATTTCAACATGTCCCCAACAACCACCGGCCAGCAGCGACCTGTCGTCCCGCTCTCCATCACCCCGAGTACGACCCAGCCCGCCCATGTCCTCACTACCGTCTCGACGCCCTACCCAACCCACGCCCACACTTCTACTTCAACACACGCCACCCATATCAGTCTCTCGGTGCCACTACCCAAGGCACTAGACTCCGGCCAGTAGATCCCACACGACGTGGCACTGTTAACTATGTCATTAAAACTTCATGTAAACTGCCTGTTACCTGTGTCAACAGTATTACACTTGTCTTGCTCTCTCAAAGTAAAGTAGAACCTTTTAAACTGGTTTACTTATTCCTTTTTTATGTGTTACCAATATCAGCATATTTTTCACTACAGTATTTATTATCGATATTTTATATTACACATATTTCCATAACTTGTACATTATTCAGTTTCTCAAAAAATCAAGTGTAACATTTGATAAAACCCTATAACATGTAAATGTTGATCACCGGTGAAAAGTTAATTTAGGCCAAATTAAATTATAATTATAATGTACAGCCAGAAAGCAATATACAGTATGATCAGTTCACTCGTTACTACTACACGGCGTGGCCCTTCCCTCCTCACCATCACACACCCTCTCCCACACAGTAACTAACACACACCCTCTCCCACACAGTAACTCACACACACCCTCTCCCACACAGTAACTAACACACACCCTCTCCCACACAGTAACTCACACACACCCTCTCCCACACAGTAACTAACACACACCCCAACACACACCCTCCCACACAGTAATCCAACACACACACCCTCCCCACAGTACCTAAAACACACCCCTCTTCCACACAGTAACTGTCACACACCCTCCCACATAGTAACCACACACCCTCCACACACACAGTAACCAACACACCCTCTCCCACACACAGTAACCACACACCCTCTCCCACACAGTAACTAACACACACCCTCTCCCACACAGTAACTAACACACACCCTCTCCCACACAGTAACTAACACACACCCTCTCCCACACAGTAACTAACACACACCCTCTCCCACACAGTAACTCACACACACCCTCTCCCACACAGTAACTAACACACACCCTCTCCCACACAGTAACTAACACACACCCTCTCCCACACAGTAACTAACACACACCCTCTCCCACACAGTAACTAACACACACCCTCTCCCACACAAACCTAACACACCCCTCCACACAGGTAGTCCACACACACACCCTTCCCACATAGTAACCAACACACACCCTCCCACACAGTATCCAACACACACACCCTCTCCTGCCACACACAGTAACCAACACACACACACCCTCCCCACACAGTAACCAACACACCCCTCTCCCACACAGCAACCAACACACACCCTCCCCACAGTAACCAACACACACACCCCTCCCTGCACACAGTAACCAACACACCCTCTCCCCACACACAGTAACCAACACACACACCCTCTCCACACAGTAACCAACACACACCCTCTCCCCACACACACAGCACCAACACACAATCTCTCCCACACATTGTGCACACACCCTCCCCACACAGTAACCAACACACCTCTCAGCATAGTAATTCAACACACACACACCACCTTCCCAACACACACCCTCTCCCACAGCACCAACACACACCCTCTCCCACACAGTAACCAACACACCTCTCCCCACACACAGTAACCAACACACACCCTCTCCCCAGCCACACAGTAACCAACACACCTCTCCACACAGTAACCAACACACCCTCCCACACAAAATTCACACACACCCTCTCCACACACAGTAACCAACACACACCCTCCCCACATAGAACCAACACACCCTCTCCTGCCACAGTAACCAACACACACCCCTCTCCCCACACAGTAACCAACACACATCCCTCTCTCCCAGCACCAACACACACCTCCCACACATAGTGCACCACAACACACACACCCTCTCCCCTGCACACACACAGTAACTAACACACACCCCTCCCCTGGCCACTGTGCACCAACACACCCTCTCCCACACAGAAAAATTCAACACACACACCTCTCCCCACAGTAACCAACATACACTCTCTCCCACATGCACCAACACACACCCTCTCCCACACAGTAACTAACACACACCCTCTCCCATACAACACCTGACGCCACACACTTATCCCTGCACTGATTCCCAACCTTGAGGAGTACAGCGGATGAATATCACTGATTAATAAACTATACCTGAGCCAAGATGATGATGATGATGATGATGATGATGATATCTAAGGACGATGGAAGTTCTGAAATGTTCTTTCAGTAAACATCAGTCATGGACACACGGATACAGTGACAGTGTACTGTACTGTGTCGAGGTTGGGTACACATGTTTCACTCAACTTGGGATTAAGTCGAGTTGATACTTGGGCAGTATACATAAATAACAATATTTATCATCATATTAATATTCGGAAATCATTATTAACTGCGTGATGTTACATAATTATCGTAAATGCTGCAATAATGATATATATATATATATATATATATATATATATATATATATATATATATATATATATATATATATATATATATATATGTATATATATATATATACTGTATGTGTGTGTGTCCTTATGTGTGTGCATGAATTTTGAAAATATAATATACAATTATATATCAATTATATGGCTGATCGCGAAATTAGCTATAGAACTTTCTAGAATCAAATTTTCATTAATAATAGGAGGCTGATAAAACAATATTAATTATCTTATTGAACTATATATATATATATATATATATATATATATATATATATATATATATATATATATATATATATATATATATATATATATATATATATATATATATATATATATATATATATAACGAACTTGTAAAACAGACATATTGTGCAACAGAAGAGGACGAAGCTACACCACACAAGTAAAATGTTTGGAAAAATAAAGAGCGGCAGAGAACCTTAGGACGGCTGAGGTGACACTGTTAACTAGTCTTTCTCTTTATCTGTCAGTCTACCATACAGGTCAAGACTGTACCTGTAACATACGGTAATATTTTGTTTCTGAATATTTTCTTTCTAAGTTAAAGCACAGAGATTAGAGTACAGTACAAGTGACAAGAGTTGACGCACTAAACAACGTTACTTTGGTTATTATCAAAATGAAACTAACAAAACTAACTGACAAAAAACATGAATTTTCGAAATAACTAAATGGTGTTGGGTAATTATTATCACTGTTCAAAAGTTTCATTCATTGAGTGTGTGTGTTACGGGGTTTGGCCAAATAACCCTAACCTGTATACTGTACTGCCCCAACTGATTAACTACAGTACCTTTATAACATATTTGGAATATTTACACAATCCATTCAAAATCTCCCCCTACCTAACATATCATCTCCTCCCCCGACCTAACCTACCATCTCCCCCGACCTAACCTACCATCTCCCCCGACCTAACCTACCATCTCCCCCGACCTAACCTACATCTCCTCCCCGACCTAACCTACCATCTCCTCCCCGACCTAACCTACATCTCACTCCCCTACCTAACCTCTCTCTGCTCCCCACCCTAACCTCCATCCTGCTCCCTATCTAACCTACCATCTCACTCCCCTATCTATTTCATCTCACTCCCCCGACCCTAACCTACATCTCCCCTACCTAACCTGCCATCTCCTCCCCTACCTAACCTACCATCTCCTCTCCCCCGGCCCACAACCTACCATCTCCTCCCCCACCTAAGCCACCATCTCCTCTCCCCGACCTAGCTACATCTCCTCCCCTACCTAACCTACCATCTCCTCCCCCTACCCCTAACCTACCATCTCCTCCCCCCGACCTAACCTACCATCTCCTCCCCTACCCCTAGCCTACCATCTCCCCCGACCCTAACCTACATCTCCTCCCCCCCAGCCTAACCTATCATCTCCTCCCAGCCCAACTTTCACCATCTCCTCCCCCACCCCGAAATACTATGTACTCAGTATCTACACACCAGAGGCAGTAAGATGCTATCAACGTGTGTGTTATAAATTAAGAGTAACTATTCCCAAGGTACCATAATTGTTACTTCATACTGACCATCATCAACGTGCTGTTATGGTCCACACACACACACACACACACACACGGTCATTAGAACTACATTTAACAAGCTTTTATTCCCGCAGTGTACTTAGGCTACAGCATGGTAGCGGTACAAGTAATCTTAACCTTGGCGATTATTATAAGTCTAGGCTTAGGCTAATTATGCACTTAAAAATGGATAAATATGCATGCAAATATGCACTTAAATATGCACTTTAAAATAAGTTAATAAATAATAACTACTAAGTTAATAACTCCTTTTCTGTACATTTTCTCAGTCAATTCACTTTCCCAGACAGGATGTCGCCGAAGTAGGATTTTTTAAAGAAGGATTAAATACCAAAAAAAATATATTGACATAAAGTAATTTATTAAACAATACTGAAAAAAGTATTTTCCTTTAAAGAAAATAGAAGAACAAAAGAGTGTCAGGAGGGAACTGGTGGAGCCCGTGCATCTATACCCTGCCTGGCTGAACACGAACCCATCACGTTCAGTTCATGTCCACTTACCAGCCAATCACGGCCTAGCTAACCACAGCCTAATGTTGAGCTATACAAACGTCACTTAAGTATGTTCCTTTTGGATATTATGACACTAAAACAAAATCGCGTATTTTCGATTTTGTTTTAGTGCAATAAAATGGACTTTTATATTTCAAATATCAGTAATTTCTGCCCCGGCGTTGCTGTTAGGCTCGCGAATTTTTTTACCCTTGAGGTTGAAGAATGTTTGATAATATTTTGAAATTTTCCAAATATATGCCTTATAAAACCAAAAAAATATGAATATGCACTTTAACTAAAAAATGGCTTAAATATGTATTTGCATATGCACATATGCAAATGCATAATTATCCCAAGCCTAAATTTATAACAAACATGAACGATATCTTTAACGTATCCCTGCAGTAAAGTAGATAAATCGTAATGAATTGTGATCAATATTCCATAATGTTAATTCACATCATTTCATTTTCCTCAACTAATTTGGTCAAGTTTCCAATTATAAAGGAACAAGTGAGATGATTTACTCCACAGCTGCAGTGTATAGTTGTGGTGTTAAGGTCGCCGACATAATTACTCCATGAACTTTTGAACAGAAATAATGACCCGCTTATGAACCTTCAAGCGTATCGGTAATTTCAGCCTGAATGGATTAAAGCGATCTAATACAGGGTGTCCCAAGATAAAATAACAAAAA